ATGTTTATTTATTCATTTCTCTCTCCAACTTATATTATTGTTTTGTTTGTCTGTATGTGTATAGTTAATTGTATTATACATATACAGGGTGACTTTGAAGTTGAGTCATTAATTTTCAGATAATGATTGTAGAAGGAAGATAAACCAAAATATGTGTGTAAAAATAAAAAAAAAATAAAAAAAATGTTATCTTGTTTTATAAAGTATCCTCCCGACAAGTATTTCAGTCCGGACCTGTATTTGATCGTGAGGTCTTGGAGCACCGGCATGCCGTCGCGTGTGAGGTCTTAAGTCACCTGATTCACGAGCCCGTTGTACTACATTAACAAAGGCACGAGGGGTTGGTTGCACTCGATTGGGAAACCGATCCGCATAAACATATGCCATTTTTGATTTCGTTTGAGCCACGCAACAGACACCACTATTCACTCACGCGTTACCGACTGACACTGACTCTATACAACGGAATAAAATAATTGTAAAAACATCGTTCCAAATTCTTTCGCTTTTTTGTTTCCGATGCGATGAACCGATAAGACGGATTATATCCGTTGTTGCCAAACACGAGCACATAATATTATGATTGAGACAGGGCGGTACTCAAACTTCCAAAGGGCTATAACTTTGTTACTTTAATTTTACCAGAAAAATGGTAAAGGAAACATTTCTTTTGATCAGATCTACTCACTGTTAAAATAAATGACTCAACTTCGAAGTCACCCTGTATTTTTCTAAGCGATCTTCTTTTATCTCATGACGACATTTTTGTATTGTTTTTTTTTGAATTTGCTTTTGGTAATTATGGGTTACGCGGCATTGCATTGTTTTTAACTTGTTTTATTCATGTTTGATGTACATTTTTCTAAGCGTTCTATTAGTATATATTGACTTGTGTAAACTCTTTCTGTGTATTAACATCAATAAATTATTATCATTATTATTAAAATTATTATTATCCGTCAATCTCGCAAACGTTTTTTGGCCGCCTTCTGTTTTCCACATGTTTTACTCGAGGAAGAAAGTACTGCTTTAGACCGTTTCCCCCATATGTGGTCAATTGGTTATTAGAAAAAAGTGTTATCTGTCTTTAAAGGCTTTGAATGTAAACTAGTTTAAACATAATGCGGTAATCGCCTTTCAAGAATATGGAACTTGTACCACTACAACCCTCTCCACGAATGCTTACACCCACGAGTAAGGTGGGTTTGACCTCCGTGACCAGCAGGACATTTGTTTAGTTTATTTCGTTTTTTTAGAGGCCTTTGTGCCCAGATAGAATTATTTATTTCATTGTCTGCTGAGAGAGCTGGTAAATGCTAGACCACGAGGTGGACTATCGTTAGCCGTTCCTACAATTGTAGAATGCCTCTACGGCCTCCTTGATTTTCATAGTTTTTCCTGTCCTTCAGAAAGGCAGCGGTATTTCTAGACTTCGACTGTTCCGTGTAAGCGCTCTATTTTGAGGTTATATTTTCTTTTTGAATTCTAAGATGTTTCAAGCTGATAAAACTTATTACCTGCTTTATCAGCTTGAAAAAAATAACATAACCTCGCAATAGGAAAGCGTTGCCGCTGACACGAAACAGGAGAAATCCAGAAATATCTGGGGTATTTCTGAGGGAGAAAAGGAGGCCATAAAGGCGTCCTACAATTGCAGGAACGGCTAAGAAAGGTTTCGGACCTTTGCACAGCCACACAAACAAATTTGACAGTTCGAGAAATTAGCCTTTTTCTAAAATATACTTTTCAATAAATATACTTTTTAATGATACGCCTGTTTTTTATTATGTCCTTTTAATGTCTCTCTGTAGACCTCACGAACCAGACGTCTCTAAGACGGTCAGTTTTCCTAACACACATAGTCATTGCAACGTCTTCACGATGCCGTACATCGTTCACAAGATGTCTTTACGACACACACAAACATATATTTTTGAAATGATTTCAATCATGATTGTGCCACTTGAATAATAGAGTGACAGATCGCTAACCCTGTCATTTTGCAGTTGCGGTTGTACAACTTTTGAGGGGGAACTGAGTAAGTAACGCCCAACCAGGCTATTAACTTCCAGTGTTCCCATGCACCAGACACGAGAATTTAGACCCTATCGGCGAGCTAACATAATAATACTTTTCTCCAAATAATCCCTTTTGTTCTATTCATCAGACAACCCACCATCCCTTATCCGAATAGGGGAAAGTAATTCCACTCACGCTCTATGCAAAGTCCCGACAAACTGTACAATATTATACAGACGTATAATTCCTCTGAACAAACATGTTCAGACCCGTTGTCATTGTCTTTAATCCAGCAGATATGAATTCATAACGCAGCATGCGTCTAGAATCCCCAAAATTACGAGGACTATATACGGATTCGGGAACAGCGGTGTGGCCGTTATACCATAAGGGATTCGTAGGTCGGCACCCACATTTTGTAGGCTCAAAAAATGCACCTCCGCATGCGAAATCGAATCGTTGTTAGGTATTACCCTAAAGGCGGGTACGCACGTAAGCACGAACGCGCACGAGGCAATCCGAGGACGCATAATCGTACCTATGTGTACGTCTGAACGAGGCGTACGAATTCGTGTGTTTTCGGGCTCGATCCGATCCGCTCCTTCGCGGTACTTCAAGGTGAAGCATACGCTCGGTGCGTGCTCAGTCTGGACGGAAATAAACATGCCTCATGCGCGTTCGTGCTCATATGCATGCCCGAGTAAAGGCATTTGACAAAATAAATCACGAATTATCAATAGCGAAGTCGATTATGACAAAGTTGCATTAAACTTTTTTCGTAATATATCAAATCAGGGGTCCATCTTGGGTTCCTTGTTTATTTGCGCATATATACAAAACTGTGGGCTTTTGTCAACTCCAGTCTTTTGCAGACGATATTCAACTTGTTCACAATTTTGATAATGATGATATCGAAATGGCACATACATCAATAAGCCATGATATTTAAAAAGTGTATGTAATGTCAAATAACAACAACCTGCCAATAAATTCCAGCATTTTACTTATTTGTTCAGATAATTAAAAGAGAACTTCAAAGTCCGGCTGAAAATTCCTGAATCGTCGAATTGATTTCAAACTTAGATTCACTAGTCAATAAGACTTTTTGAGACCGTGATCAATCTTATACTGATAAATCAATTTTTAATTTTAAATTGAGAAAAAACCTTCCTCACCTTTGGTTATGCCTATTTTCAACTACTGTGATATTTTATATTAACTGTGTCTTGATGTTATTACTAGAAAATCGGATCCAAATTGTGGAAGGTTCATCTGCGAACAAAGTCGCTTTAACCATGTTTCTGATCGACTTATACATTTAAACTGGATGAACACGAAAAGTATATTAAGTGACATATAAATCCGAACACCCAGTTTAAATGGTTTTATTTTAATAAAATTTTGTATAAGTCCTTAATGAAGCATAATAAGTAAACGATGGATGCACCCTGATGTGCTACGCATTCTCCAACGCGCCTAGGCATGCTTCTGATCAGGTGGTCAATGTCCTCCTGTGGTATCTCATTCCAGGCAACCACCAACTCCTCTCGAAGTGCTTCTAGAGTCTAAGAAGGACGATGCAAACTGAGCAATCTCCTACCCATCATATCCCACACGTGCTCAATTGGGGATAAGTCGGGAGATCTTGGTGGCCATGGTAACAATGTGACATCATTATGTTGAAAGAAGTCTATTGTGACTCTTGCAACATGTGGTCGGGCATTATCTTGTTGGAATGTTGGATCTGCCAGGGTGTCAAGATAGGGTAAAAGATGGGGTTCTAGAACTTCGTGGATATAACGCTGCGAGTTTATGTTATCTCTGATGAAGATTAAAGGTGACCTGGAACCATAAGCTATAGCACCCCAAACCATAACTGCAACAGTGTGATGAACATGTCTTTCAACAAAAAACTGTGAATTCCTCCTTTCACCTCGTCGCCTTCTAACCCTGGCACGACCATCGTGCATGCCTAAACAAAATCGAGACTCGTCACTAAAGACAATACTGTTCCACTCCTGATCCCAGAGTGACCGTCGTCTGCACCACTCAAGGCGATTACGTCGGTGTTCTCGAGTTAAAGGGAGGACCCAGTGTGGCCGGTATGAAAACAAGCCAAAACTTCTCATTCGTCGGTAAACACTTCGCATGCCAATAGGTCTTCCGTGTTCTGCAAACCATTCATTTGCGATGGACCTGGTAGTGGAGAAACGGTCCCTTAAGGCCAATAATCTTAGGCGGCGATCTTCACGGTCTGTTGTTCTACGGCGGCGTTCAGTGCCCCTTGCTCTTTGCGTACGGCCTTCTCGAAGCCATGCCTGACAACACCTAACCACAGTGTCTACACTTCTTTGCACTCTAACTGCAACTGCCCGAAAAAAAAGTCCAGCTTCCCGAAGTCCCACTATACGGCCCCTATCAAATTCACTAAGTTGACGAAATCGTACAGGTCTCCGTACTCTAGGCATCGTAACCGATCGTAAAGGATGTCAAGAACCAAAATCCGCCAACGTTGATTCTTTACTGCGGCTGAAATATTCATTTTTAGAGCGTTAGTGAATTAAAAAAAAGCAGTATAAAAACCGGAATGTCCAACTGATTTTTACACTTGTTATTTACAGTAAGATAAATACATTCACCAACTTTTATTAAAATAAAACCATTTAAACTGGGTTTTCGGATTTATATGTCACTTAGTATATTATCAAATGATATTACCATTTATTTTGTTCTTTTCTTTCTTCGTAAATGCTAAACTTTTGCAAAACATATATCTTTTTTTTTGTTTCTGATATCTGCTACCTGACAACTTCTGTTTTTTCTTGAATGGGCGATTATGTGTGAGGGTAGCGTGTAGCTAAACTTTGCCACCATTTACAACCCTTTTTTTCTATATTTAATTGTGCAGTTTAAATAAAGACGATTATCGTCATCATGACTATAACGTATATCAATCCCACTTCTGATACTACCTATCTTACCTTTCGGCGGATTGATTGGTATCGCCGACCTATACAACGCCTCCTCACTTTTCCAGTCCAAGTTCCTGAGCACAGTCCTGGCACTGAACGCCACTAGCACCGTCACAAACGCGCACACAAACACGAGTCTGTACCTCCTGTACGAGTTCCACAGAGCTGCACTGCTCAGGCCCAGGAGCAGACATAATCCGACGCTGGGCATGTACAGAACCCGTTCGGCCATGACGAAGCCCACGTAGTACAGGAGGTTGGTGGCGGGTATAAAGGGAAGCACTAGGAAGGCAAGGGATAGGATTGCCGCTTGGTCATTCCTCACTGTCCTCAAATGTCTGTGGTAGTGGTGGAGGGTATCTTTGGAGGTGCACACGCACGAGCTTGAGTGGAATTGAGTGGTGTTGTTGTTGTTGGAGGTTCTGCAGGAGGCCGTGTGCTGTTGCAGGTCGTGGTGTTGGTGGTGATGATGATGATGGTGATGATTGTAGGTCGATGGTTGGCAGACTACGCAGGAGTCTCTGGCATTGTAAGCTGGCCTGGAAAAGATACAAAGTTATATTGAGCTACCTCGATAGAGCTAAAAGTGCTCATTAGCAGCCTGTACTGGCACATAAAAGACGGTAGGTAGGCTAAACGCCCATACCAACTAAATCGTATCATACTATATCGTACTATGATTGCATCTCGTATCCGTACGTCGGATAACTCCGAGTTGTCGAAATTGTCATGATTTCCAAAGTTGCAAAAAATGTAAAAACTACTGAAACCGCCAAAATTGCTGATATTGCTAAAAGTGCGAGAATTCCTGAAATTGTTAAAATGGCTAAAATTGCTATTATTGTTAAAATTGTTAAAGATGCTAAAATTGTTGAAATTGCTAAAATTGCTAAAATTGCAAAAAAAGTTGAAATTGCTAAAATTGTTAGAATTATGAAAATTGATAAACTTGCCAAATTTGCTAAAACTGATAACATTAACAGAATTTAATAATTAATGAAATTACTGAGATTGTTAAAACTTCTAAAATTGCTGAAATCGCTAAAATGTATAAAATTGCTAAAATTGTTAGAATTGTGCAAATTGCTAAACTTGCTAAAATCGCTAACATTAACAGAATATAATAATTTATGAAATTGCTAAGATTGCTAAAATTGCTAAAATTGATAAAATTGTTAAAATTGCTAAAATTTATCAAATTGCTGAAATGGCTAAAATTGCTGAAAGTGCAAAAATTGCAAAAATTGCAAAAATTGCAAAAATCGTAAAAATTGCAAAAATTGCTAAAATTTCAAATTGCTACAATTTATACAGTTGCTAGAATTACTAAAAATGCTAAAATTTATACAATTGCTAGAATTGCTGAAATTGCTAAATCGCTGAAATTGCTAAAATTGTTAGAATTGTGAAAATTGATAAACTTGCTAAAATCGCTAAAATTGATAACATTAACAGAAAAGAATAACTAACGAAATTGTTAAAACTGATAAAATTGCTAAAATTGTTAAAATTTTTAAAATTGTTGAAATTATTGAAATTGTAAATTGTTAAAATTGCTATAATTGCTGAAATTGCTAAGATTGCTACAATTGCTAAAATTGCTGAAGTTGCTAAAATTGTTAGAATTGTTAGAATTGTGCAAATTGCTAAATTTGCTAAAATTGCTAACATTGATAAAATTAACAGAGTATAATAATTAATGAAATTACTAAGGTTGCTAAAATTGCTGAAATTGCTAAAATTTATAAAATTGCTATAACTGCTAAAATTGCCAAAATTGCTAAAAACTGCCAAAATTGCTTAAATGGTTGAAATTGCTAAAATTGTTAGAATTGTGAAAATTGATAAACTTGCTAAAATTGATAACATTAACAGAATAGAATAACTAACGAAATTACTAAGTTTGTTAAAATCGCTAACATTGTTAAAACTGATAAAATTGCTAAAACTGTTAAAATTGCTAAAATTGTTACAATTATTGAAATTGTAAATTGTTAAAATTGTTAAAATTGCTATAATTGCTGAAATTGCTAAATTTGCTAAAATTGCTGAAGTTGCTAAAACTGCTAAAATTGCTAAAGTTGCTAAATTTGCTAAAATTGTTAAGATTGCTGATATATAGCTAAAATTGCTAAAGTTGCCAAAATGTTTTTCTTCTAAAGCTGCAAAATTTTTAAACTCACCTCAATACGGGTTTCCTAGTCAAAATCACCGACCTGACTGCATCTTTTACAATAAACACCAAGAAGACGTAAAAGAGACATGACACCAGATTTCTGGAGTCCCGCAAGGATGTGATTCGGGGTACGGCGTCCATTCCCCAATCAAAGCTGAGCGTGTTTGGGAACATTAAGAGCCAAAAATTGAGGACTGGGAGGTAAGTGAAGGTGAGGAAGCGGGTAAGGAAAGATGATTCTTTGGCGGTCGGATTGTCAGCTTGAGAAAATTGAGGAGCTTTGATTTGCAGTCGGATTGCTAGGATGATTGATAGAGCTGAGACGAGGATCAGTAAGCTGCGAGTCTGCTCCTGAAACAAGGAAAAGAACAGCGTTATAATACTGACAATCGGTGATCATCATACAGGACGTTTCACATACATTTTTAAATACTTATTAATTCTGGTGGATCATCACGGAATCAGTACTTCTTGCCATTATCAGGAATGTTTATCTTATCAGTGGAACGAGTTGTGTATTCAAACACTTCTAGATGTTTGTTTAGCCACACATCCGGGTACTTGATCGCATTTTGGATTCAAATGTTGCGATCTAAACCTCAATGTCTACCACAAAGAGTAAACACATCGGTCTTGTCACGAGCTAATTTCATGCCATTTCATTTTACCTATATGGTAATTTTTTTGATTCCATATGCCTAACGTTTTTATAGCTTGCCTCTCTCTCTTTGCCGTGAATACCCGGAAACCTTTGCAGGCGCAGTAACTCATCATAGAACACGTTCCAGGACAACGGCCCTAGAACGGAGCCCTGCTGCACTCCCGTTATCACCTTCACCGTCTGTTGTCCTACCATAAGCAGTACTTCCATTAGAGTAACTTTTTAACGCTTATTTTCTGCATACTACCACCCAATAAAACTTGTTTGTAAAATCGAACCAAATCTTGTACATGAAGTTGTGTAATCTAGAACTAGAAGATTGGAGACTTCCATCGTTATGCCTTAAAGAACTTGTTTTTTTTAGCAATTTCCAGATATTCTTCCAGTAACGACTACGTCAAGTCCAACTTCCTACATAAAACCATACTTTATCTACATGTTTCAGCGGAATAAGTTTCTGCATTGTACTTGAACGAGCTTCTGCTCGTCATAACTCAGAATGTCATAGAAATGTGGAGATGCGCCACGCTACAGTATCTTTTTTTAAATAAACTGCTATATATTATGATGTCGTGACTCGGAGCGTTAAAATTTCGAGAAGAGAGAAGCCTGGTGACAGCGCGTACATGGGCTTAGGCGGTGGAGCTTCCGTGAACTTTGCCATAAAGATGCGGAGGTTATCACAAGTGTTTCCAACGGTAGAACGGACTAGAATAGATTTTTATTAGCTACAAACTGTAAATAACAATGTAGCAAGTCAAGCTAAGAATATATATACTTATCATAAAAGAGAAAAAACATAGATATAACAATAGAAACTGTTTATAGACATTTTACAAAAACAATAAATGTCAAAAAAGGACTTAGCAAAAACCATCAATTTATCGCATACTTGTTAAATTTGTGCACTAAAAATTCGTCAACAGAATAAAGATACAAGTACAGCAAATATTTTTTCAAAGATCGTTTGAACTCCAAAAAGTTTAATTCCTTGAGCTCATGCGGTGGGATTTTGTAGAACGTTAAATTAAGGGAGTTTTCAGTAGGATAGCAGGTATCCTGAATCTACCGTCTCTGAATAACGATAGCGTTCTAGTTGTATAATTATGGTGTGACATGTCAGTGTCAATCTCTCATTTGTTTTTGAGTGTTTCAATGGCATGAACATCGGAGATAATGTCATTATTTCCAAATTCGTAAAATGCCGGCGACACAATCGCCGTACTCAGTTCCAGCGATTGATCTATAACTTTCTTTAATATCTTGGGTACTGCTTGAATCTCCTCACAATGATACACCATAACTCATTCGAGAAAGAAATGAGGCATGATAGATAGTCAATAAGATGTCCTGGTTCAGTAATTTAGACATCCTCCGAAGGCCAAAAATGGCGCATGAGAAGCTATTTGCTGATGCTATGATGTGGGACTTCATCAAGCTTTCGTTCTAAAGACAAAGACAATTCTCTGTATTTTATCGGTATTTAGGTTGTTGTTGGTAAGTCACAGTTCAGCTTCGCTTTATAGACATTCAATTTTCGATGTAGTTTCATCAGCTTTGCGTATGAAAGACATGTTTGTGGTTGGAGATAACAGCATAGGTCATATACTTATACCAAGAAGATGAACGGCCTCAAGTTAGAACCCTGAGGAACTCCATGTTCTAAAGTAGCAAAATCTGATCTGTTATTGTCTCTGAGTGCGTTTAGCATCTAGAATTTAAAAGTGTGCTGACAAAGCCGTGCAGGAAAGCTTCTGATATGGCACGCCATTGCTTAAAAAAGAGAAATATTTGAAATTCTTATTTCTTTCCTTACTGAGAAAGCATTGGCGTACATCCCGTCCGGACGCCACTGGTAGAAATATTAAAAAATATTTTACATCAAAGAATGCTTATTGGTGCTCAGTAGGTGCATGTCATATTTCATGAAAATATCTGGAACAGTATTAAAAACGATTTTTTTCTAAAAACTTCAACACCCTGTAGCTCAAAAGGTCAGAGGTTTAGGACGTATTTTGATATAAACTTTTCTTCCTAAACTGAGCTAAGGAACCATATCGTGTGTTTTTTGTTTAATAAATGGCAACATTGCTGCAAAAATACTAGTACTAGATTATAGAAAAAAACTACTCAGTGAGAAATTCCATAGGCACTTCAAATGCCCATACCTCCGTGCAAAAATTCCTTCCAGCGCTAGAGCGTATAATAAAGCAAAAACGGCATGAAATATGTCTCACGAGCTGGCATAAAAAGACAGACAGACATAGAGAGGCAGTCTTAGCTCTGAATCTTAAAGTCAAATACCATGTAGAAAGTTTACGAGGGAAGCGTTAAAAAACAATGTAGTCCTGGCTGTGTACGGCTCAATTCTCTTATTCCGCGTCTCACCTCAATTTTTCCGCTATAATAAAAGGATAAAGGCGAGAGAGAAGAACACGGCATTGCTTTCTGTCTTCCAAGCGAGGCGTGCATTTTCAGTTTGTATACAAAGCTTCCAGGGGCGTAGCAACTTTGGTGTCTCTTGCTCTCATAATAATAATAATAATAATAATAATATTTATTCACTCAATGTACAAAGATAACAGACAATATGAGTAAATAAATATAAAATCAAAACAGGCCCAATAGAAGGCATCGCCTGTACATGGACCAATAATTTAAGTTGAAACTGTAGAATGCAAATGACAAAAAAGGACAAAAATTAGCTACAGTAGATTATGTATTTAGTTGATGTTCGTATTTATGAGTTTATGAATTTCAGTCCTAGATATAGAATGTAGCCACTTTTTTAAATTTCTTTTGAAACAATTTCCGAAACGTAAATCTTTTAAGTCTTTAGGTATAATTTCATAAAATTTAGGCGCTAAATAGAGATATGATCGCTGCATTATAGATTTATGCGGTTGAGGAACTACTGTGCCACGAATTTTGTACCTGGTATAATGATTATGTTTAATTTTTTGGTCGGTGTTTACAAATTTATGGTAGTGAGTGATACTGTGTAAGAAATAAAGCTGTCTTATATCATACATTCGAACATCTGCGTATAATTTTTCAGTGGGATAAAGTTTCGGTTTTTTAAATATCATTTTTAGAATACTTTTTTGAAAAACATCTAAATTATAGATATGTGAGGAACATGCAGCTCCCCATGCTAATATACCATATGTGAGATGAGGCTCAATCAGTGCATGGTATAATGTTCGAAGATATTTTTCTGTCAATACATTCCCAAGGTATTTAATTTTGTAGGATACAAATCTAACTTCCTTTAAAATATAATTGACATGGATGTCCCATCGTAAGTGAGGATCCAAGACCACTCCAAGGTATTTTATGTTGGGCACTCTATTAATTTGCATTTTTTGATCATTAATAATGAAGGAGAAATTTGTGTAATTTGGCAGATGTCTAGCATAAGATCCAAATGGTAAAAAATGTGTTTTAGAGTAGTTAATGCTTAATTTTCTACTGTTAAACCACCGAATAATTTTGATAAAATCATTTTCAAATACATTTTTCAGATCAGACCAGTCAGTGCCTTCATATAATATTGCAGTATTATCTGCAAAACTAGTTATTTTGCCAACACAATTAATTTGGAAAATATCATTTAAATATATATTGAATAACAGCGGAACTAAGACAGTTCCTTGTGGGACACCACACTTAATATACATTTCTTTACTAAATGATCCTGATATCTGCACAGATTGTGGGCGATTTGACAAATAACTTTCGATCAGTGAGTAAGCGTTTCCTCTGAAACCAATTCTCTCCAATGCTTCTAATAATAATTTGTGATTAACTGTGTCGAAAGCTTTCTTTAAATTAACAAAAATGCAGATTGAAGGGATTTTGTTATCAATATTTTGATGTATTTGATTTACAATTTTAGTTATTGCGTCCGATGTAGCCTTCCCTTCTGTAAATCCATATTGATTTTCACTTAAAATTTTGAATTTTGTGAGGTATCGGATCATTCTAGTAGATAAAACTTTTTCAAAAACCTTTGCTGCACTGGATATTATTGATATTGATCTATAGTTGTTAACATCTGTTTTTGTTCCTGATTTATGTATCGGTATTATATGACCTTTTTTTAAAATTGAGGGATATATGCCAGATTCAAAGCATTTGTTGATTAGGTAAGTGAGTGGTTCTTTTATGTCCTCGGCTATAATTTTCAAATGCTCGCTTTTAATACCATCGAACCCAGGACTTTTCCGATTTTTTAAGGACATAACAGTGGTGTATACTCCACATTGCTCGACTTTATCCAAAATAAATGAGTTCAAAGTTCTTTTTGGAGGCTGAGTATTTTGTACATTTGCTTGTATATTACTTGCTAAACTTTCGCCTATGTCAGTAAAGAATTGTACAAATTCATCGCATATCTGTTGAGTATTTTTTAATACTGTTCCCAATGTTGTATTTAACTCAGTGACACACTCTTTAAATTTTGTTTTCCCAGTAATCTCATCAATAGTTGTCCAAAGCCGCTTAGGATCATTTAAGTTATTATTCAATTTACTTAGGTAATGTTTTCGTTTGGTTTGCCTTACAAGCTCTATAAATTTATTTTTATATTGGTTGTAGCAGTCGGTATTCTCTGTAGTTGGCGTTAGTTTCATTACATTATATAGTTTTTCTTTTTCTATTGCCGATGTTATTAATCCTTTGGTAATCCAGGCATTTCTGCTTTTCTCTT